AGATGGTGAAATAACCCAATGACCCTTTGTTTCTGGGACAGTTCCTGGACAACTGTGGTTTGAGAATACAGTACACGGCCCATACAAAGTACCTCACAACAGCATTCCGCCAATTTAAACTGATATTGTATCATTTTATCATCAAAGATGAGTGCAATTTTTTACACTCATATATGTGGTGCTAACAGGTAATTTCATGCAAAATACCAAGTGGGATGAAAGGGGTGGGTGCATGGCAGTGTTCTTGTCTACTTCTCAGCAAGGTCAACAGACACAGAGGTCAGAGGCAATTTAGGTACTTACTAAACTGTAAGCATCTGGTCACTGCAATTTGCATTATAATCACCCTCCTTCTTGGAGACATAACTTAGTCAAATATGAAGCGAACGACACAATGCAAAGATTTTTTGGTTTGTAGTGCTGAAGTGAGTTACATACTATATATTTTATCAGATGTATATGCCCATCATGAATAAACTAGAAATTCTATTTTAAAAAATAGAAAAAGAAACACCTTAAACTACAAAACATGTTTGAGAATTGTCACATTTTTAAGTTTTTTTTAGTGTCATTGTAATCCAGTGATAGCTGTTTGTACAGCCACGAGTACATTGCACAAAGGAGCTGCTAATAGCTTATTTGACGTATGTCTAATGCTGTCAGTTTGCCAAAAATGTAAACAAAATATAGCCAAAAAACACACTCAAGTTGTAACCAACATCATAACTCAGTTCCAAAGCTTAGAGTATCTTTATCCCTCATAGAGAAGAATAATAACAGCACTGGCAAAATCCATTAATATTAACTTCTATCATGTTGTACAAATGTGTGTGTGGGGGGGGTTGTTGCACATGTCAGACTTTGAAAAGCCTGAGAGAATATGAAGTGAAAATGAACAAAAACAATCTTTCTCTCACAACAGCATTTCAGCCCTGTTGCCCACACAAAAGCAATTTCAGCCATGTTTAAATTTAAACCAGTTTAATGAATATGAGCACTAAGAGCTTGTACTTTACAGTAGATGGTTCAGGAAGGGATTGCAGGCTTCTTTATGATATTAATGCTGTCATCTAAAGTCCTTTCGGAGTCTTATGTGAATACATTACCCATAGCCATATCAATTGTGGTGGAATCGAATGAGAAAATGGTGGTGCTATTTTTATGCATTTGATGCATTAGGGTATATGCAGGCAAAATACCCTAATTACCATAGCCCTTGTGCTGTAAAGGCAGACATGAGAAAGCACCTAATTCAACAACTAGCTGTCAGGACTGACAAGCAATTAGAGATTGCAAAGTGATTTTTAGGTTAAATAACTGCATATTAAAATCGGAATTTGACATAAAAGAGGGAAAAGCACCAAAAAGTCACAGGACATTTGCAGAAATACTTATGCAACTGATTGTATAGTCTCTCTGGCGTAGTATAGTCTCTGTAATATTCTGATGTCATGAGACTAGAGAAGGCCTGGGAGTACCCTGGTCTCTGTGGTAACTGGCAGGAGTGTTAACTCCTGCATTTCAAGAGCAGGCCATAGTTCAGCTACAGTTTGTATGTGGCACAAGACTGCCCTCCACTGGGAGAATGATAAACTGATGTTAAAGAGAGCAGAATAATGTACCTCAGATGTGTCATTTCAAAAGACCAGTACTGTTTCCAGTAAAAGGGATTTACTGTAGAGTGTCTACATTATTCTATAAAGATGAGACCTATCATGCAGATGTGCATCAAAGAAGCTACATGGAAATGGACTCCTTTGCTCTGGACATTCCATACTGGGTACTGCCTCCCTGGTGAGGTTTACCAATCAAATTCTTAGGATATAAGGTTGAGGTTATGGGGCAGGGTCTGCCAAGTCACTGTGAAGGAGGTGGGACTTGTGTTCAAGGCCCGCCTGTAAAGCTTAACTTAGGGCAAACAAGTCTTGTGGCTAGGCTAGTCTGCTTATCAAAATACTAAGATTTGCTTTGGTGACAGCGCATTCTATGACATCAGAGGGCAAAGTACTCAGAGAAGGGGTGAACAGTGATAACTGTTTAAATATGGTGATAATTGTGCAGCATTTTTGACAGACTCTCCTGGAAGACACTCATAGAGTTACACTTGATTGAAAAGTGACAAACTGGAAAAGAAAGCTTGGAAGAGAAAGTCACACCCAGCATACTTTCACCTCCACACCGGAGCAATCACTGCTTCAAGTAGGTAACAATCTTGGATAGTTGGTTTCAGAAAAGTGCAGGGGGAGCAGGTTTCTAAAGCTGTTTGACCATCTGACAAGGACTTCTGGCAGGGTGTACTGGTGCTACTCATTGAGGACACACCTCATATATTCAATTTTTGAACTTTTCTCAAATTATTGGAGTTTTTAAAAGTGTAATCATCTGAAAGGTTCAGGAGGGCAGTCACTCTGCTGGAACTAACAACAACTCACAGACAGGTTTAATGTGACAAGGGGGCCCAAGTAGAGCTTAGGCTTTTTGTAAACAGCCATAAGTCAGTAAATTAGTCTGAAAAGTACAATATTTCCTTTGAATTATAGAAGTAGCACAAGTGGAAACACTCATGTAAAGTATCTCTAAATTTTGCAGTACTTAAGTAAATGTGCTCAGTTACTTTACTCCACTACTTTAACACTAAGTTTTGTGGAGCTGCAGCACCTTTTATATAGTTCACTCAAACTTTTTAATGAATGCTTAAAAAGTGTCATTTGTAATTCCTAATTACATTTTTGGTCATTTTTACAGACAACAAATGAACAATGTAAGGAATGGTGAAGGATAGATGAATTCCACATTTGAAAAGACTGCATCAATTCTTGCTTCATTTGACATTTTTAGTCAGTTCACAGAGAAAATATCCAATTTCTGGGCTGCGGTGAAATGGCTGTAATGGTGCCATGTGTAGCATTTTGCGCCTGTCACATCCCATATGTCTGGCAATTCATCTATTGATACCAGCTTCTTCTCTCATAATCTGGATATACAGCATCTCTTACGTGACTACAATAAACTGAATTTTGAGAAGTCCTATGAAAACATTATTTTTGGCTGAGTCTATTTCCACTTTTCATGTAATTCATTCGAAAACAAACAAATGAGCAACCTGAAGGATCATGTGAGCTGACTGTATGAAAATGAAACACACTTCTCATTCTGCTCACAAACTCACAACATGACTAGAGAGATTAAATTAATGCTAAACCATTTACACATAGGAGGGTAATTAATCATTTCTGGCTCCTTACTGGGGCTCTCAGCACACTCTGGCCTCACTCAGAGACTCCTGCACAAAAAAAAAAAAATATCATGACATTTTTGTAATTACACCTTTTCTCCTCAGAGTGAAGCACCAGCTTCTTGACAAACTGAAGGCCACTTTGTCACAGCACAAGTAAGGCTTTACACATTTAAACCCAATATTTCTGCAGGCAGATTTATGGAATTTATGAACACATTTTTATGCTACATTATAAACTTGTTCAAGAGATTTGAGCAGTGCCACCTGTGTGGCAGCACATGGCCACAGCTGTTATTTCCATGGTGCACTTTGAAGTGAGATATAAAAATATTTATCTGTTCATTTCAGAATTTCATGGAAAATAGTACTGCAAACAGGTTTTGTTTATGTTATGTTGGAAAACATTCTGATGAGAGTAAAATTTAAGTAGCTACATGAGTAAGAAGACCACTAATGCTATATTTAATTTCCCTGTAGGATTAATAAAGCCTCTAGCTATCTCATGCTAGCTGCTCTGCGAGGCTGTACTCCAGCTAAATGCTAACATCAACATGCTAATATACTCACAATGACAACGCTAACATGCTGATGTTTAGCTTGTGTTCTTACCAAGCTACTAATTTTATTTAGCATGCTAACATTTGTTAATTATGTAGCTACATGGTACATATGTAAGGTTTGAGATTTAAATGGGCTGAGAAGCTTTTGTTTGTTTCATGACAGAACACATTGGGCACCACATCTGGCCTGGCTGTGCAGCCATGACAGACTCGGGGTGACAGTTTTTTTTCCCCTCTACTGCAGCTGTGGAGTTTTACCAGCAAAATGTTAGATCAGAAAATAATTCAGGACTCCCATTAGAACCAAATGACATTTCTTACAGTTATTACTGTTGACAAGGAGAGCCTTTTCAGTCATACTTTAAGTCTGTAACACTGAGTTTGTTTTCCAGCTGCTCCAACTCCCACCGGGTCACACAGCCAGAAGCATTTTTAAGCTGCAGCACAGAAAACATAAATCAACTCTCAATCCAGCTAATTGAATATCAATACATATAATTCCATCAGCACTTTCCACAGACAAGTACTGGACTAATTGTGAAAATGAAATGGACCCATGCAAAGGAAAATCACATGTTGCCAATTCAAACAGAGCTACTAATTCAGCATGCAAAATTATGCATGCTGTAATTAATTTTCCATTAATGCTGGATTGATGTTGTCTTCATGATACAGACAACCAAGCCATAAATGACTGATATTAAATTCACAGCTTTGTGTCATTACTGAAACAGATGCTAATTTAGCAGAGCAGCTTCAGGTCGACAGGTATGTGAAATGTGTGTCTCAGAGACACTGGGCCACACATAAACAGTGCTGCGCAAGTAGAAAATACATTATAATATGCAATGACAAAATTATATAGTTTCCTTTGTGGTGGAGAATCTTTAAATTGTAATGAATGGCACAGGCAGTAATTGGTATGTGAGTTAATAGATTGGGGAAAGAGACCATTATGCTGAATTATTAAGCTGTTTAATTAAGTAGTTTGCTTTTGGACCTTTTAGTTTTTCCTGGTTTCCGATTCATTAAGCTAATTGAAACTACTTCTAGACCTTCTGAAAACTACTTAATGACTTAAAAGAACACAACTGTGTAAAAAGATGTTTAATCTTTTAAGACAATACCCATCTATAGATGCATTCTGAGCTATTTGAGAGAAACTATACTCATAATAGGAAGCATAAAAAAACTACAAAATATCTTTTCCCCCCACTTCAGTTTATTCATAGTGAGTTTATGCAGTGGTCATAATCTCGACAGCTGGAGAAGAATCCCACCTACTGACCTTGAAACTGTGCAGCTAGTGTGTTTCACCATCAGTCCAAGATAAGTTAACATGGGAAAACATGAGCTCACAATGCACTGTCCATTGAGAACGTCTGCTTCACATCTTTTTCACCCGTTTCTTGGGTCTCTGGTTGAAGATGGGTGACGTGCCCATCAGGGAGTCGGGTGAATGTGAGGCGTGGCTGCCATCTGATGCTGCACCCCCAGGAGAGGGTGCCATGGCTCCTCCCGACTCGCTCATGGTGGACATTGGCCCCCCTTCCTCAAACATGTCTCCACCCAGAACGCTGTGGTGGTGGTGATGGTGGTGCTGATGATGGCCAGCACCCTGGCCCTCCTCGCCATCTTGCGGCTCCATTTTTACCTGTGGCCAGAGAGGGGAGTTGTTGGCCCCACCACCGCCTTGTAAGAAATGAGGAAAAAAAAATAAATAAATAAAAACTATTGTGAATTGACATGCTTGACACCCATCTACACTACATCATGATGATCCTTTGACTGTACTTTACAGATGGGATAATGTTTGCATGTTGGTATGTGATGCCCTTTTTTACACCATAGCGTTTTGTTTCTTCCCAAACAATTCAACCTCATTTGCATTAGTCCACAGAACATATTTCCAGTGGTCTTGTGCAGTGTCATGGTGCTGTTTGAAAAACATGAGGTGAGCTGCAGTTGTTTTTTTTTTTGGAGAGGATCAACTCTCTGTAAAAGCTGATATTTTTATATGTCATGTCAACATGAAACATCAACCCAGTGGTGAAAGGAGTATCATGGTGTGGGGCTGCTTTGCTGCCTCAGGACCTGGACCACTTGCCATTGTGGAGGGGAAATTTTATTCCCAATTTAATCAAGGAATCCTACAGGGTAATGTAAGGGTGGCTGTCAGAAGGCTGAAGCTCAGAATAAGCTGGGTGATGCAAAAGGACAATGACCCTAAACACTGAAGTAAATCTACTACAGAATGGCTTCAAAACAGGAAAATCTGCCATTTGGAGTGGCCCAGTGAGAGTCCAGCCCTTGACACAACAGAGATGCTGTGGAAGGAATTCACACCAGATGTCCTAAGCCTGAGCTGAAGCAGTTTTGTGAGAATGGTCAAAAATTCCTCCTTAACATTGTGCAGGTCTGATCCGCACCTACACGAATTGCTTGTTTGAGGTTACTGATGCCAAAGGAGTTTCAACCAGTTATTAAATCCAAGGGTTCACTTACTTTTTCCACCAGTACTTTGAATGTTTAATAAGTATGTTCTAGACATGAAAAATAATAATTGTGTAAGCACATTTTATCAATATTTGTGACTCAGATGAAGATCAGATCACAATTTGTGACAAATTCATGTTGAAAACCAGGTGTTTCCTAATGGCTCACTTACTTTTTCTTGCATACAAATAAATTTCACTAGCCAACAACTACAGACTAAATATATGATCATGTTTTTATAACATTATTTACTCTCTAGCAGAAGAGTGAGTGAATGAAAACTAGATTATGTTAACAACTCTACTGGAAGGATCTTATGAGAAGAAATCTTACTAGGGGGTGTCCAAGTTAGGCATGAAGGAGGCAGAAAGGCTACCTACTGGTTAAAACCACCTAATGATTTACTTAAGCTACAATACTGCAGCACCTTTAATTGTTCACACAGTACATCCAAAACTAAAGGTTTAAACTGGAGAGTGTGCACACATCAATCCCCTCTTCAGAAAATTCTTCATGAACACAGATTATAAATTTGATCTGGTATGATGCTCTGACCTGAGGTATGAGGAGAATGGTCACCATCCAAGCCTGAAGTCAACCTCTCACCATGGGCCCCTAGAACACCCATGGGCAGAGCCTGGTCTCCTGAGGCCAGGTCAGCCTCTGGCTCTTCGCTCACAGGAAAGGAAATGTCACTCACTGGCTCCTCCTTGATCCCCGGGGGCTTGGAGTCCTACCAGAGGCCTGGGAACTTGAGGGTCCTGCGCAATATCTTAGCTGTTCCTGGGACTGCACTCTTCTGGACAGAGATCTCAGATGTTCCTGGGATCTGTTGGAGCCACTCTCCCAGTTTGGGGGTCACAGCCCCCAATGTTCCTATTACCACGGGGACCACTTGTATTTCTTTGTATTTCTTGAGCTTCCCGTGTTCCTTCTTCCTCATGTTGCTATCGCTTGGGATTGCTACATCTATCACTACGGCCTTCTTTTTCTGGTTTGTCCACCACTACTATGTCCGGTTGGTTGGTCATTACCAGTTTGTCAGTTTGTATCTGGAAGTCCCACAGGATCTTAGCTTGGTCATTCTCAACCACCTTTGGAGGTGTATCCCATTTTGACTTTGGGACTTCCAGCCTGTACTTGGCTCAGTTTTCCAAAATATGAACCACATTGACAAAATATCGCTGAACACCATAAACAAAATGAAATAGGTGTTATGCATATATAACTTCATTAAAGTATATGTCATGATATTTATATTCACTGATATAAGAAATTTTCTAGAAAGTCAGTTTGTGTAATAAAAACGTGCAGGAATGTCTCTTTTGTCTTAATTCTGTGAAACAAAGACATGAGAAATACTTCCTCACTTAAATGCAAAAATCTTTTTAAAAAATCTTATTGATCAGCAAAACCCACAATAACCTAACACAAACAGATATATGAAAAGGATTGATACACTGTATAAAGTGTATGGTAAAATTTAGAATGGTGGATAAATCTTCTGTCAAATAACATCATCTTATGAAGGTTATGACCCATTGCCAAGCTCACCTGCAGCATGTAGCTGTGATAGTCCTTGATCCGCACTTGCCAGAAGCGCTGCAAGGCCAGCACACTGCCGATGCCCACCTCATGGAACACTTGTTCCACCACATCTGGGAATGAACTGGCTCCTAGCCTTGCCTCTCGGTCCACTGCCACCCGAAGCAGGCGGGTTAGGTGCAGGTAATGCTCATGGACCAGGTCGGTCAGAGTCTCCAGCACGCTCTCCTGAGTGGACTCAAAGCCAGCGTGGGCCAGGATGGTGGCCACTGACTGATAGAGCAGCTGCCTGCAGGAGGGCCAGCTCAGCTCTGTGACAGGCTCTCCTTTACCCCTTTGAATGAAAGAGCATACATGATAAGAGGTTGCTAAATTAATTGAGATTATATCTGTGAAATGTTAGATACATAAAAAAATTACTAGATCTAAACTATGAGTGGCTATGCCTACAATTTAGATGCTTCAGCAGAAATACAAGGTATGTAATCACAAAGAAGAACTGTAGTCTTAGCCCAACTAGCCTCAGAGTAACTCACTTATAGAAGTCACTTTCAGGGTCACTGTGGCAGAGCTGGAAGGGTTGCCGGGGGCCTTTGCTGTCCATGGGTAATAGGTCATCTGGCATGGCAGGTGGAGTGGGAGCACGTAGGGGCAGGTTGGTATCAGCCTCCTCCAATTTGCTGCCTCCTTCAGAGGTCACTGAGCTCTGGCCCTGAGCTTGGGCTTGGGCTGCTACTAAGAGGCCACGGAGGCGGCGAGTGTGCTGACACAGCTGAACTGTGTGGATGGTGAGGCTGCAGGGCTCTGAGGGGATGTCCAACATTGTGGTGGGCCGTGGACGCTGGGCCGAGGGCTGGTGCAGGGGAGGGTCCTGCATCTCCACAGAGCGAAACTCACGCTGGAGCAAGTCAAAGGAGCTGCGACTTGGAGGAGCCCCTGCAGGTCCAGGGATCTCTCCCCAGTAACGCATCATGATGAGTGGTCAAAGACACAAGGTGGATTTAAACCAGTATCAAATCTGGGAACTGTGAAAAGGAAGTCACTACTGAGAATGAATTGGGTACATACAAAAGTGGCTGATCTGTCAGTGATCATCACAAAACAAACGCATATAAAATAGGTACAGCATTAATTCAGATTGCATACCCAATCTTAAAAATAATCTTGCAGCTCTGGTTTTCCCAAGATAATTTAAAAACGTGAAGCGTTAGCTGCCTATCTGCTCCCACATTTTTTTTACTATTTAAATAAAATATATTTAATAATAAACTTTTTGCACTGCCTTTGTTACGAAAAAAATTTAACTTCTAAGGTTAGAGGCTAATAGGTGTACTTGATACGTCTCGAATTGAAGAGTAAATTGCAATGATTCTCTTAATATCTCAAGTTAAGATTTTATTTGCCAAATAGCAAGACAACTCAGAATGTCAGACGTCTGGAGTTTGGTATTATATGAACATAGAAGAGACAGTACATCAGCAAACACCTCTTACTCATAAAAGAGCAAATGGCCTACAGATAAATTACAAACTACTTATCCGTTTAAATCGCAAATATTAACTCACATTACAAATGTAGAGATGAGACGTCTATTATTACTTGGAACCAGCGGTTCGTGTACCCTCTAAGGAAGTTGCACATGGACTAGACTTTCTCGTCCTTGTTATAAAAAACCTCGGGTTAACAGCTGAACAAGCTGTTTAGTTCCTCCACAAAGTAGTTCTTTTTACGGGTATAAAATGAAAAATTCTCTTAACCTGCAGTATAGTTGTATTTTAAAATATTTTCTAGCCACTGGTTTTCGACCACCTTCGTCTTCTTCTCCTTCCTCTTCTGTTTCTGCTCCTCCTCCTCCTCCTCCTACTTCTCCCTCTCCCTCTCCCTCTCCCTCTCCAGTGCTCCTTCTCCTGCTGATTAATTGCGGTTGGCAACCAGCTTTAAGCGCATTACCGCCACCTTCTAGACTGGAGTGTGGATCCATCATCTATCACCATACTCTCGCCATCTTTCATTACCGGATGTTCAACCACTTTCCTACTGCCTGACATTCTTTTAATCATACCCCATACTTGTTCTATAGGGGTGCTTCTACCTAACGTATCACAATATGCCTTCCAATATTCTCTTTTACACTTCACTTGCTCTCTTCAGTCCATTATTTAAGGCTAACGGGGCTCATAGATACAATTTCACTTCTGGTTTAAATTTCAGAATAAGTTTTTTCGTACATCGCATGTTTCCTCATCTTTATCGGTCTCTTGCCTCTAAACGGCAACGAATG